AACGTCAGGAAACAAAACTTCCAGAACACGGCCACACAGCCCGGAAGACCCACACCAGTCAAAACTATGGATACTGTTTCCAATTGAGTTCAATCTGAGGGTCTCTTTCCATAGGATGGGGATTGGGTTCACAAGCTCTCTGTGGCTGTTGTACTGTTATGAAGTCCCTTGAGCACTTATTAGCTGGAAAAGCAGCTTGCAACTTTTGTCAGGTAATTAATTGGTTTCTAATTAGAATTCAAAAATCTCATATTTCAGATTTTGTAGCAACTGATTCTGTAGAAACAATGATTTACTAGCCTTACTGTTGTATTTTTCAGAAATACTTCACACAATCTGAAGCTAGCCGTATATGATGGACTACAAGTCCCATCTCCCTCAGCCAGCATGTGAGTATAAATGTGCTCACTGGAAATTCTTTGGTTGGTGTTCCAGCATATCTCAAAAACGCCAGGTTAGGGAAGTATGCCTGATAGAAAGTTCATCCCCCTTCATATTTACGGATTCCATTCTTTGAACTGGGGACATTATGATCTTTCAGTCAAGATCTGAGAGTTTGGGCAGCTCTACCCTTTGAAAAACAATTTGATTAATGTCTAAAATATAGCCAAAAAACTAGCATGTTTCTTACCTTTCTGTTTCAATTAATCAATAATGAAATAGTATTGATACAACCTAAATGCAAGAGAGTATTCTGATCTGGTGCTGCTATCTTCCCAGCTGAAAACAGCTTTTGTAGCACCAGAATAGGTCTGTTCCCTCAAATGCAGCCCTAGCTCTTTAAGTGATGCTTAATGTTGGGATAGGAGAGCCCACATGAGAGTTTGCCTTCAGGCTCAGGCAGTATTGCTTATACTGGGGGCACATTTGGAATTTTGAGAGCCTCTGGTGGGTCCAGACCTGAAATGGCTGCCATAGGGGACTTGGCTACTTGCAAAATGATTGGCATGGTGGTGTGTCACAATATACCTGTTTGTCATATATGGGCCACAGAAATCTGGCCAACCTTAAGAGAACAATAACAAGACTTTCACGGATCTCTGCGCTGCCAGGTATGTCTTGTCTGTCATTTATCAGAAGACAAAGTTGTCCCCCAGGATCCTCTCTAATATTCCAAGGCAGTCATTGCTTCAAGTAAATATGATTTCAGAGACTGGTACCTCACTTTGCAGCATACCAGGTTACTATTTAGTATGTATTAAATTAAACCAATTTAGCAACAATCCAGCTGGCACTCAGAACCTGGTAGGTAATAAGTCTGGGGGTATTTTGCTGCTCACGTGTTCCAACTGCCTACCCATCCTCTAGAATGTCCTAATGATTTGACCTGAGGGTCTGCTGAAAGATCATGAAGAGGAGGTTCATGAATGTTGCTGAAATTATGATTCATCTTACCCAGTTCCACTGAATACTGAAATGTAGTTTGCTTCACTTTCCCAAGGTTTGAAATCAATACAGCTTTTCAGACAAAATTGTTCAAATGCTTTGAGGATAAGAACTTTTGCATTAATATCTGAAATACAAACAAATAAGTTTTGCTTTTTTAAAGTAATACATTTCTATTCATCTTTCCCCATAGCAACTATTACGGCATTGTTCAAGAAGTGGCAAAAAGTCCTCTGAAACCATATTTTCTACCTTGGTCATGATCTTTGCCATCCCTTTGAACCCTTAATAAATTTTGGTGGAGATACCTCAGTAGCACTTATGAACAGAGATGTGCTGTATTACATTTATTTTGAAGTATATCACCTTTTCCCTCTACAGATAACAGCAGCTAGCCAACTGACTGGCTAGCTAGCAATCTAAGAAGGGTCAGCCCTGGTTAGTACTGGGATGGACAAGCATCTGAACATGTCAGGAATGACAGTCTAGGAAGCCGACTTAGAAGAAGGTAGTGGGGAACCACTGCCAAGAAAATGGCATAGATGCAGTCACCTGACTCGGGGGCATCTTTATCTATATTGCTTTTTGAACTATACTTGTGGCATAAACACATAGGATAAAAATACCTAGTCAGTTTGGTGGGTTCTAATTGAATTCAAGAATCACGCTCTAATTTCAAGGACAGAATGTTCTCCTTGTCCTTTTTTTAAAAAAAAATTCAAACTTTCAAAGCTAAGCAACTAGCTCAATAGCATTTGACAGAATATACACCTCTGACTAAGGAAATAATAATCTAACTTCTGAAGGTGAATGGAGAACAAAAATAGCAAGATATGAATGAAAGCCATTCAATACACACTGATTCTAAGTAGTATCCAAATTAGTCTCAGGAAGGGATCATTGCTGTTAATGCTAGCTTGGCACTGCTCAGTTTCTTTTTAGAAAACTGCATGATCTCTTGTTTATAAATGGCATAATTATTTGATTAATAAATGCTGTGTGAACAGAGTCAGCTGTGATGAGGAGGAGGAGGAGGAGGAGGAGGAGGAGGATACTATTGTTACACTCACCCCATTCCTCTGTGGTGAGAATTCCCAAGAGTGGAGCACTTATCCAGGTATGGCTTGGAAGGAGGTCACTGGAGTCTTTTTGGTATTTTGTAATATGGGCATTTATTTACAGATATATAAAAGAAGCAGAGAATGGAGGCCCCACTTCAACTCTTCAGTAAACAACATCTGCTGCTATTGTATAAAATCTCTAAGGAGACAACCAGACCTCTCAGATCCTTATCAAGCATTTTGTCACCTAGTCTCTGTCTCACACTGTGATCTATTCTTTTCACATGTAGGCTGCATTTACACAACATACTAAGCCATAAAGTAGTTTTGATATAGCTTGTTGTGCAAACCCATTCCATTGTGGTTTATTCAATAAACCATGGTTAAGCAAACTTGATCAGAAGGTGGGAATTCATATGAGTAAGCTATACTGTCCACTTCCTTACCTTCATAACTCCCATGAAGGCACTGTCAGCTTGCTTTTCCCCCAAGTCTAGATATTGCTTCAAAGCCTCCAGACTGATATCCCTAATCTTAGTAATCTGGTGCAAACCCCATAATAGCATTGCTGTTATCGAACAATTTTAGAGTAAAGGAAGTATGCAAATCAAAATATATCTGGGCATGATTTGATTAAGCAAGAAACATTGTATTATAAATAGCATCATACCTTTTGGAAGAGCAATTTTGAACAACACAGATACTAGGTAGTTTTATAAATGTGCTGAGTCCGTCTCTCTTCTTTATTATACAGCTAACTTTTTCTTTCTTTTCTTTATCTTGTCATATAAACAATTGTAGCTTTCAATTTTACTCAGTTTATCTGGCAGATAAACTACAGAGGCAAGTGTTAAATATGAAAAAGAATCTATATTGAAATCTCTATCTTACCAAAATTATCTTCAAGGATGTATGGAATGGGGAGAGGCCTTTGATACTGCTCACCAATGTTTGCATTTTGGTAATGGCTCTAAAATGAACAGCAAATGGTCAGAAAAGAGCTAAAACTATTCAAGTAACCCACTAAATATAGTCTTATGCACCTCAGGGGTATGAATTATATAATACTGTACTAGACAATTTCCATCCAGTCTCCCACCTCCCCTTTTTGGGTTGAGAAAGTGGTGGCATCACAGCTCCAAAGGGTTCTGGAGGAAACGGATTATCTGGATCCCTTCCAGTCAGGTTTCAGGCCCAGATATGGAATGGAAACAGCATTGGTCTCACTTATGGATGACCTCTGGTGGGAGCAGGATGGTGGAAGTGCGACCAACCTTGCTCTCCTTGATCTCTCAGAGACTTTCGATACCGTCGACCACGGTATCCTGTTGGAACGGATCAGGGAATTGGGGGTGGGCGGCACGGTCTTGTGCTGGTTCGCCTTCTTTCTCCGGGGCCGATCCCAATCGGTGGTGATAGGGAGTGAGAGGTCCCATCCTCGGCCCCTCCTTTGTGGGGGGCAGCAGGGTTTTGTTCTCTCTCCCTTTCTTTTCAACACCTGCATGAAACCGCTGGGTGGGATCATCCGTTATCAAGGGGTGAGGTATCATCAGTATGCTGATGATATGCAGCTATACATCTCCATCCCTGGTGAAGTAAATGATGCTGTGGCCACCCTTCCGCGGTGCCTGGAGGCTGTAAGGGTCTGGATGGGGAACAACAGGCTTCGGCTGAATCCTGGCAAGATGGAGTGGCTGTGGGTTAATGGCTTCTCTATATCCGGGATTTTTTCATCTTTGGTGTTGGATGGGGTGGCACTGCCCCAGACAGAC